TAAAAACGTATGAGCGCACGTACCAGTCGGTTTTGCGTATAGCGTCGGCTGATATTTTCTTACTGTGCAAGAAGGAAGTTTAATTAGTCGAATGCTTGAATTCGTATCAAGCTTCACATTTTATCTAAAGGGTGTACGCATTTTTGTGCATTTACGCAATTACTTTTTTTATGTTTCGAAAGACGAAATTGGCATTTTTTTCGGTTTACATTAGCCACTAAAATATGAAAACATAAAATCAAAAAAGAATAAAACCTTCACATTGGTATTGTAGTTCTCTCCAGAGAGAATCATTTAAAATATATGCATGATTTAACCAATATTTACGGGAAACAGAGAAAAAACATAATATTTGCGAATTTCTTTTCTTAGTTTTTTCCATTCGTTTCCTCTTTTTTTTGCTTCAAACCACGTCAGATTGCTGCTATCTTCAGCTAACGTGTAGACATTTCTTTTCGCTATTTGTTTGCGTCGTTGTATACTCTTCACGATAAAAAATGCCGTTCTTTTGCATAATGCCAAAAATTTACATACATTTTCCTTTGTGTATTGTATGGCGTAATTGGAATGGGTGAGAAGAAGCGTGGAGGCAATTTAAGCAGCCGCCGACAAAAAAGCACGCGCGCACATACATACATAGATACACACATTCACACACACAAACAACCAGCAATATAATGGCATAAATCGAGGAAAATAAGTGTACCCCCATTCCATGAATTTCCGTTCCAATCAAAATACATAAAAGACTTTACTCGTTTTATTCTTTCAATATGAGCAAAACATTGAGGCGCGAGTAAACGAACGAATGAATGGCTCACCCTGCACAACAGAACACAACACACACGACATGCTTCGCAAAATATAAATCGCAAGAAGAAGAAGTGGTGAAAAATATGTGTTTTCGTATGCATATGATACCGAAAGATATTTACTTATTAATTTAAACAAAATTAGAAGCATTTGGTCGTTCGTTTGCAATGAAAAGTATCTCATGTTGAATTTTTTTATCATTTTGACAGCATTTTTAAAGGCCGACCATAAGCTTCGGCTGTTCAAAGAAAAGACCAAACATTTGCCTGTGCGATTTTTTTTATTATGCATGTTTTCATTATGTCTTGAAACAATCTCCAAACTTCACTTTGGGTCTCCCATTTCATTTTCCATTGCTTCCGTTTGTGTGTGTGTGTGTGTCTTTTCTCATATTGCCATCGACGGGGATCGTTTGCTTGTTGTTTAATCTCTCGCACTCGTTCGCTCGTTTGCTTCGTTGCTGTTGGTCGCTTTTTATCACAATATTTGGTGTATGCGATTTTGCATCACATACACAATATTATTTGGCCTTTCTTGACTCAACGTGTCTCTATATCTTTTACTCCGCACACAAAATGTATTGTGTGCGCTATTATATGGTGGTTGGTGTGTTGTGTCGAGCGCTCGCGCTCGCTCATTTTGGTTTTTACTTTTCCCATTTATTTTTAAATTAAACTTTAATGTTTGATTATGTATGTATTTATTCGTCGGAATAACATTTTTAATGAAACTTTTTAATATTTTATAATGCTCGAAATAATTTTTCTCTCGTTTTCTACTCCACATACCGCATACATATAGTACACAGTGTGTGTGCACATTGTATGTATGGGGTGTGTATTCTCTGTGATGCGTTTTTTTCAGCATATATGTACACACACATCTCTGTGTACATTAGGGTGTTTCCACATGAAAAATATTAAAAAGTGGCTATTATCATTCTGAAGAGCGTTAAATTCTGTATAAGATGATTTGATTCTTGATACTGATTGGTTGCCGATGTCACTTCCTAGACTAAAAACACATTTGTAAATTGATTTCATGTCGCATTCACGCCAAAATCTGTAATTGATGAAAATATAAGATTGAACAAAATTAAAAACATGAAAAATAATTTTAATATCAAAATATTTGCCTAAATATTAATAAAAGTAACACAAAAACTCACAATTTTACCACAATAAACCAAAACAATGCAAATTCGCCAATTCATTTGACAGAATGACATTTGAAGCGTGATTCGCTCACGCATGACAAATGACAGGTTATGTGTCAAATGAATTGGCAATTTTGCATTGTTTTGATTTATTGTGGTAAAATTGTTAGTTTTTGTGTTACTTTTTAAATATTTAAGCAATAATATTGACATTAAAATTATTTTTCATGTTTTTAATTTTTTTCAATCTTAAAATTTCATTATTTACAGATTCTGGCGTGAATGCGACATGAAATCAATTTACAAATGTGTTTTTAGTCCAGGAAGTGACATCGGCGACCAATCAGCATCGAAAATCAAATGATCTTATACAGAATTTTACGCTCTTCAAAATGATGCTAGCCACTTTTTGATATTTTCTATGTGGAAACACCCTAGTGTACATCTATCGATACAACAAAAGTGGCAGAATCGAAAGATCTTGATTTTTTTAATATGTATATTGGATGAGTTGTTGTCGCGTTTGCATGGAGTATGGAAATGCACTGCATACTAAATTACATAAGGATCTGTTTAGTCAAAGAGAGATAGAGAGAGAGAGAGAAAATGGATTTTCTTTTAAATTTTAATATATACGAAAAAACGTAGACATAATTGAACGAAGCAAAATGAAACGAACGAAGCCAAATAACAAGAGAAAATTAATCAACAAACTTTCGTAAATATGATTGAATTTCGGGTTCGTTCATTGATGTTGGTGGCATGTGTCTTTTAATTTGGTTTCGATAGCTTGGTCGTTTAAGCCAACTAATGGATAGAACTAAACTGAACATTTTCCAAAGTGATTGAACCAATAAAACATTTTGCGTCAATTTTGTTTTAAATTTTTATTTGTTTTGTCTTTACAGACACCGATGGCATTCTATCCAACATGGCAAGCAGACCCATCACAAGGGTGGCAGAATCAGTTCATCCAACAGATTCCACAAAACACACCAGGAATATCAGCATTAAATTCAATCGATTTCCAACCACAAGTAAGTATTCGGTTTGGTCTGTGTGATACAGCCGACCTTTCTTTTCTTTTCTTTTTTTGTTCGTAGTTGATGGTAATATATGATGTCGATTTATTAAAAT